AAAGTTTTATGTATTTATTTGCCCTGAACAGCATCCACTGCTTTATTAAATGAGGAGAAGAGGGCGAAGACTCAAGGCTCAGAGCAGAAACAGGTGCTGAGGAAATAAAAAGCTTTTTTTATGAATCGTGTTTGGATCCAGCAATTACTTTCTCTCCAATTACCTTTTCGCTTTTTTTTTTTTGCCCCCGAGAAATAGTCCTCCTTTGGCTCGCTAACATGAGCGCACGCACATCACTGAGAGGCTAAGAGCCATTTTTGTGGTCATGCTTTAACAGTGTATGACTGGAGGGGAGGGAGAATCAATATAATCAGGAAGGAAAAACGACAGAGAGAGGAAGAGAGAGAGACAGTTGGATTCAGCCCATGCATGTTCGAGGGTATTTTCAGTAATTGTAAATAATTGGTTGCTTCGCGGAGAAGTGACACGGATGCCAAGTCATACCAGGCTACATGGTTGAATATTCTAACTAATTGGCTCTTTCAAAAAGGCTAAGGCATTTTTAAGGTCCTCAAATTGGTCTTCTCTCCTTCAGAGAATGGCACGAGCGCCAAAACTAATTAGACCGTTGCTGATTGTTTAGAAACCCAAAGTGCGCTAAGGCAAACCAGACGAGAGCGAGAGAGAGGCCGAGCCAGGAACTGCTCTACAATGTCTCAGCTGGGGAGCAAAAACAAAATGGGCCTTATTGGGTAAGAACTTCACAACAAGGATTGCTTTGACAATATGCGTTGTACCAGCACAAAAAACCCTCATTTCAGATCTCTTTAATCTGAGCATATGTGACTCACACACACACACACACACACACACCGCGCGCGCGCTTTTGTTCTTTTTTTCATTGCAGAATTGGAGCTGTGGCTCTATGGAATGGCATAGAATAAAGTCCCTAATGAGAGATGGTTGTGGTTTGAGGATCTTGTATCACACAGGGCTGCAGCATTTTAATCAGGGAGAACATTTAGCTGTGTGTTTATCAGGCGCTGTCACGTCGGCTCTGGGCTTTAGCGGTTTCCTGACCTTTAACCTGTGTTCTCATCAGTGACCATACGGACTCCTGTTTCCATTTGTTCCTAAAATTACAGTGCTTATTATTCACAGCTTGTTGCCCTTTAACAGAGGAAATTATCCAGCACTGTTTTGACTATACATATTTCCCTTTCTTAATTCATCACAGATGCTTATGTTCTCTGTTTTACTCCAAAATTGTCCACCTTACATGCCTCATTCCATCCCTCAACCCCGTGTTCTGATGTGTCCTTTACTTTATGGATAAAAATGTGTATCGGGCATGCATTAATTGTGCCAACTGTGGAGCAACAGCTCATTTCCCATGGTGCACCTGGGAGGGTTGAGTTTGGTATGCTACTGTACAACAAAGCTCTTTGGAACTCTGAGAGATGAAAATGGAGTGAGAGAGAGAGGGGGAAAGAGAGAACAGGCCAGTGTGTCCTAGTAGCCTCATTCTCCATGCTAGCAGAGCATGTCCCAACTGTTGTCAATTTATCAATGTAACGTGCACTAGTGGGCACAGTTTGAGCCTCCATTAGTGCAGGTGTTTCCATCCATCTCTGCCTCCCTCACTTACTCCACCTTGTCAGAGGAAACTAAATGGGGCATTTGAAGAAATGTAAACAAGCCTCAGTGGACGATTGGCGCGTCCTCAGGCCTAAACACAGAGGAGGAGTTCAGGCCTGCTGTTCAACAAAAAAAGGCTCTCAAAGTGCTTTATACAGCTCCATTTAATCACTCATCACTCGTTTTCTCTCTGGGAAGACTGTCAATCTTTTTGCTACATCAGTCTTTTTGCCATCTGTTATGTTTTTGGTTTTTTGTTTTTTCAGACAGGAATATCATTGCTGTCTGTGTTAGGGACCATTTTGACTCTTAATAATCAAAAAGCAATTGTTGTAAGGGTTTCTAATTTCTAATTCTAATGGATTCTTTTCATGCAGGCACATTAAAGTACTGTTTATTCCCACATAATGAACAATAAAGTGATGGAAACCAGCCAGGTTTGATCTTCAGCTTCACTATATTACTTTTAAAATCTGAATATTTAGAAAATTCAGGGCATTGCACACTTCCTTAATGATTTTCATAGATTTTTATGCCAAAACCATACAATATGACTGGAGACGATACTCTAACAATTAGGAATGGCCGATTATTCCAGTGTTTTGTTTGAAGCAGTTGGAGGCGAGTAAATGAGATCTCACATTTGACCGACAGAATTCGGGAATGGCCTGTGGTTGGTCATTTACAAACTCAGTAAAACAGCATCTTCCTGTTTAATTTGGCATTCCTGGAAACATTTATTGGCAAAATGAATCACTTTCCAAGTACTAGGAGACATTCATTCATCTTCAGTATCCAGTTTGACCTGGTCAGAGACAGGATAGATGCAGAGCTTAACATGTGTACACTGGGGGAATATATCCTGGATGCAATGCCAATGCAAGTTCAAGGCTGTGCAAGGCAGGAAAAGCATTTTCCCATGTCCACGATGTTGTACTAGATCATAGATTTGTATCATACAGGCACTCGTTCAGTAGCCACAACTCTATTACTTTCTCCTCCACTGATTAGCTCTACTGCAGCCACAAATGTCCGGTCTTTTTCTCTACTTATGCTGTTTGCTGAAAACTTATTGCACTCAGTTTTCATAGGTTATGGCAGAATCCATTTAAATTCATATATACTACTAGACTACATCAATTTGGTTGATATTAATACACTCCATCTTGAAATGGCTGACTGAAAACCCATAAAGAATTACAGTCTGTGCCCCTTGCACATGTTTCCATTTTCAGTGCCAAGCACTAGCTCCAACAGCCCCAAATATCTACAGATAAGCTGACCATAACAGATTTAGGCTAACTTGGAATAGTGGTAGATTATATGATGTTTACCCTTTTTATTAAAAATCAAAGTCTATTTTATTCATCTTATTTTTTTAGATTTTTTTAAGAGGGCCCCCCAAAATCCCACCCCCACCCTTATCCATCCATTCATCCATCCATCCATTTTCTGACACTACCTCTGACTGGGGAAGAAACGGAGTACCCGGAGGAAAACCCCTGAAGCATGGGGAAATCCTGCAAAGTCTGTACACACAGGGTGATGGCAGTATTTGAACCCCCAAAGACTGGAGGTGTGAGGCAAAAGTGCTAACCACTAAGCCACCATGCTTCCCACAACCCACCATTATCAAAGTTATTGTGCAGATACTGTACATAATATCAACTGGAATCTAATGACAATTTTATTTGAAATATTATTCATTATGTGGGTGTACAATTCAGAAATATAAGACCCTTGGGCTCCAATTAATAGCCAATTTTTGTGCCTAATGTGCCTAATTTTTAAATGGTTTATTTGAAAAATAAATCTATACTTAGCTAGTTTATTTTAATTGCTGTTAAATGGTTCGCTGACTATAAGTACCCCAGAACAGGTCTTTTGTAAGTTATAAAGCCATAGAAACACGTTTAATCATTCCTACTTCTCTCCTGGTTCCTTAAAAATAGTCCAGAGTATCCACATCTGTGAGTTGTAAAACAACAACTCCAGTTCCTTCCCTTTACACTCTATAATGCCTGATTATATGGCACAACTTCATGTCCCACTGTCCCTTGGACAATAGCTTCTGGTTAGGTATTTCAGGTGCAAGCTGTGGGTCCTTCATTCATGATGATACTGGAGATTTCTGCCATACACTGAGAGATCTATTTCATCAAACATGCAGTACAGCAGTGCAGAAGATGTGACTCATGATACATCTGCTGTAATGGTATCCATTAGTGAGCACATTAATTTTCCAGGCAGTTGACTGTGGTTGTTCATGAAAGACTTTATTACTGGAAATATATAGAACTACCAAGAATTGTTTTTTTCAGTACATAAGTATCACTGGTGTACTTGTGGATCAGCACTCTTACAGAGCATTTTGGTATGATTTTTCCACTTCTCATCTCCACAGGTCTAGTTTGAATATTAGTTGTCTAACCAGGATCGTTCTAGATGCAATAATTAAAGGATGTCCTTGTGCAAATGTGCAAGTAATTTTACTTTTAACAGCAGTATTGTAATAAAGGTGAAGCAATTAGAACAAAAGAAGCTGTTATATGTTTCTGTTTATAGATGTCTGACAGCTCTGGATCTCTAATATACGAAACTATTCTCCCTGTAGGCATTTGGTTAATGAGTGCAATAAATCAACAGTGTCATTCTGATAAAACTGTGAAAGATGTTCAACAGTGATTTAGTTCCACATTCGATATGTATGGAACTAGGTGAATACTTTAAGTTACCGTGACCAAGTCAACGTTTCCAATACCATAAAAAAAAAAAAAAAAAACACTGACGTTTTATGGAAATTCGTAAGTGCAAAAATGTGTGAATTCACGGCAGATTCAACAACTCACTTTTAAGAACAATACACACAAACTTACTTGAGTAATTGCAGTATCTTCATGAATCAGTGAGAGAATTAGTGAGCGAGTGGGTGGGCAGGTGTTTGGGTAGATAGTTGAGTGAGTGAGTGAGTGAGATTGGGAGTGAGTGAGATTGTGATTGAGATTATGAGTGAGTGAACTTGTGATGGAGTGAGTGAATTTATTTTGATGTTGATTGTATGAAGGAATGAGTAAGTGACTGAGTGAGTGAATAATTGAGTGAATGGTTGAGTGAGTGAGTGAGTGAGTGAGTGAGTGAGTGTGCATGTGTGAGTTGGCAGGTCCATGATGTTTAAACAGTATTGGCAATATAAGAAAAGAAATGATTTCTGCCTGAAGGCAGTAGGACAACCAGGACAAATGACAAAAACACTGTAAAATGCTAATTAATGCAAGTTAAGCGTCTCAATGCATTGTGTGTACTACATGTGTTTTGAATTACACAATTATTTTTTTACTGTAAAAAGTAAACTTCTAGATATTGCAGTTTAGCAGAGGCTGAACAAATGTAACATGTGATCAGAGAGACCTGCAATTTTTAGGGGCAGTGGTGGCTCAATGGTAAAAGGCTCTGTGTTGCTGATCAGAAAGTCATGAGTTCAAGCCACAGCACTGCCAAGCAGCCACTGTTGGGCCCTCGAGCAAGGCCCTTAAACCTCAATTGCTCAGTTATATGAATGAGATACATGTAAGTTGCTCTGGATAAGGGCATCTGACAAAAAGTGTCATAAATGAAAATTTAGAAACAATCACCAAAATTTCAATGTAATACATATATTAGGTATTGTGAAATTATGGAAATTATGTCTTACAATACAAACCAATAGTGAATGCATTTTAATTAACTTTAAAGTACACCTCTGTCCTAGATTGTCCAGACAAGCAGTAAGAGAGTGCAGGATTGTTTTAATGTGAGACTGAAACTCCACAAATTCATGACTAGCAAAGCTACTTGCCTATTATTCTGTGCTGGATACTACCCTTAGGCTAGTCTATGTTCATTTCACTGCACAGCAGCACCATGCAGCCAGTGGGTGAACATAACTAGCTTTTAATTAAAACAGAGAACAGAAATTAAAAGTAGAGGGATAAGACAGTAATTTGAAGAGAGTATGAAGCTGTCATTTGGTCATGACAACTCTCATGAGGACCACTGCATCATATAATGGATGTAGAAGAACTATATTGTTTCGTTGCTCTAATTTGACCCTTCTAGCGATGGCTCAGGCAACAGCTCTGATGCTGGAACTGGATGCCCATTCTGCGCACCGATTAGCTAACTGTGGTCCATCAAGCAGCCTGGCATCTCCTAAAGCTGGGAAAAAAGTTGGAGTTAATGATGATTTGGAGCTCGTTGAATGCAGAAGAAGCCAAGTCTACCCTGAAGCACACAATGCTTCCGTAGCACTGCACATTCCTATGTTATTTTCTTCCATTCTGAACTTTCAGGACATCAATGTAAGTGTGTCCTGATGTACAATCAAGTCATCTGGAAACAGGATCAGAGTTGACTGGTGAGGCAAATTAAGGAGAAAAGGAAAGACCTTAGCTGTAGTTAGTAGTTCTCTTTGCTTTGCAGTGTTTCATCCTGCTGACAATCAGGACTTCTTGCAGGCTCATAGCTCAAACATTCTCCAAATGGGAAATCTCATTATTTCTCATTATTATTTATTATTTCTCATTAGGCCATTGTGTAATGCAATTAGAGTTTTAATGTAATGCAATGATATATATCCTATTTGCCTTGGTATTGTTCAAACTGCATTTAGATATTACAGATGGCTAGTCCATGGTGCTGAAACACTTGAATATGGGAAAGATATTTGCAAGAACAGCCATTTGTTGTGGTGGTGTTTATCTTAGACAAGCAGCGATTGAATTATAGCTTTTAAAAGTGAAATGCAATGATTGGATTCATTCAAAATTGTCCTTTTATTTGAAGACCTTTTCTATTTTTCTGATTGGTGATTAATTTGCCAATGAGTTAAGAGATACTTAAATGGACAGAAAGCATGCCACTTCATTGGGCACACAGCACAGGTGCCCTTTAATGTGCTGTGATTGATTACCATGCACTAGTTGACAACAGCAAGACCACCATTTCAATGTTTTTGAATGTTTTTGCTGCTGTTGGAAAACAGCTGCTGCTGTTTTGGAAACACACAATTGATGGCATTAAACTTTCTAAGGTGTTGTGTCTGTTGAGGAACTTATTATGAAGCAGGCATTTATTGTTGCGCCAAACTTTTGAGCAAAGATTTTTGTTAATTCTGACTTTTTCGCATACCCATGACCTCCTAAAATGAATGAGTAGTATGGCTTTGATTATCTATTACAGTTTTGTGGTAGAGGTTTAAACATTAACTTTTGAATTGGCATGTTTTTTTTTTTTTTTTTTTTTTTTTTTTTTTTTTTTTTTTTTTTTTTTTTTTTTTTTTTTTTTTTTTTTTTTTTTTTTTTTTTTTTTGAAAGGTGGTGGGTTTTGTGGTGGTTGGGGTAGGTTATTAATTAGATTTTGTTATTTTATATGATAGGGAAGTATTAAAAAAAAAAAAATATATTTTATTTTTTTTTTATTATTTTTTTTTTTTTTTTATTTTTTTTTTTTTTTTTTTGTTTTTTTTTTTTTTTGTGTTTTTTTAATTTATTAAAAAAAAAAAAAATAATAATAAATAATATTTTTTTTTTTTTTTTTTTTTTTTTTTTTTTTTTTTTTTTTTTTTTTTTTTTTTTTTTTTTTTTTTTTTGTTTTTTTTTGTTTGTTTTTTTTTTTTTTTTTTTTTTTTTTTTTTTTTTTTTTTTTTTTTTTTTTTTCCACAAAAAAAAAAAACAAAACCCCACAAAAAAAAAAAAAAAAAAAAAAAAAAAAAAAAAAAAAAAAAAACACTAGCAAGCTGATGTTACCACAACTACCATGCTTATTTAGCTAGCATTGTTCTGAGTAGTTTATAATTTACAAACACTAATTACCCTCATAAAAACTTACATACATCATATTTTCCCGTATAAGCTAAAACATGTAGGTCATATCAACGTCAGATGCATATCTCTCAACAAAAACTTCAAATCTGTTAGGGTAGTGTCATGTGAGAGCTGAACACAATGGGCGAGTAAGTCTAAACCTAAAGCTGCTCTGAGGTCAGTCAAGAAGCAGTCATTTCTGCTAATTGGGTTTTGGGATACATGTTTTTCTGCATAGTAGACTTCATTCTGACACCAAATAATCAGGATGTGGCTGTCTCCATATAGAATATGACAGGAGATGGTATGTGGGAAGTAAAAAATCAAAGTTCACACTTTAGTGCTGTTATAGGTGGTTCCGGCCATGCTACTATACTGTCAGTTCCAATAAAAAGCTGTGGTCTCGTTGTCTGTTAGTCCCAAGGAAGGTGTGGCCTCTACTCCTGTCTGTCCCAGGGAGGTGGGGCCTCTGTGTCTGCCTCTCTGAATCAAGGAGGTGTTACCTGTGTCTGTCTATCGGAATCAAGGAGGTGTGGCCTCTCTGTCTGTCAATCCCAGTGAAGGAGGTGTGGCCTCTGTGTTTTTCTGTTCGAATAAAGGAGGTGTGGCCTCTGTGTCTGTCTCTCTGAATAAATGAGGTGTGGCCTCTGTGTCTGTCAACCTCAGTGAAGGAGATGTGGCCTCTGTGCCAGTAAGGGAGGCAAGAATTACTCATATATTCTTATTGGTTTAATTGTTTGCTAAATTAAATATATTCACCAAGATGTGAATGTGTGTGTAAATAATTGTTGTTTGTGTGCATGGTGCTTTGTGATGCGCTGGCATCAAATCCAAGCTGTATTCCTGCCTTGTTCCCTGTGTTCCTGGGCTCCCAATTCATTTTGATCCAAAATTTGTCCAAATTTTAATTTAATGTGGACCAAAATATTATGAATTATTTTTTACAAATCAACATGGATCAAGAGCATCTGAAAAAATGGATTAGTAACAATTTTTTTTAATAGACCGATTTAAATAAGCCCAGACTAGACTCATAAAGGAAACATTATATAAATTGCTGGCCAGTGGTTATCATTTACGTTGAATTGATCACATATCGAGATGCACATCCTCACCACTATTCAAATGCTCCCTATCTGTAGACAAGCTTTCTGATTAGAATATGAATCATTTCATCATCTTATTTTATTATTCATAAGACCCAGATGCAAGTCAATTAAGTCCTGCTGATTATGACATCGATAATTGCACCTTTATTGGATAATTTATGGAAATTTTTCAGTCTAGTCTTAGGTGGGCAAAAGATTACAGTCATCATTCTCACTCATTTAGTCAATTCAACCTGCATTTACTCTACAAGGCTTTTCAGATACTGCTTATTCTCCAGAGCCTTTTTTTTATTTATTTATCCGGGTCAGCCTGCTTAAGTGTTTTGAGGTACTTTGTCCTTGCTAAGCTAAATGGGTAAAAAATATTTGGAAAGCTCTGAGCTCCTAGAGCTTCCCTACAGAGAACACAAGTTTACCATAAGTTTCCAGTTGTTTTTAAAGACAACCACATCCTTGCTGTTTTGGTTTCCTTTGGGTAGAATCCCTCGAATTTCTTAAGCATTCAATACAACAAAACCAAAACTTTGTTCTTGATTGGTTATAAAATACATAATATTGTTTCCCCAGTGCTCCTTTTCAATGTTGCTATGTTAAGATTAGATGCATGCATAAAGCTGATATATTTGTAATGCATGCAATCTACAAATGAGACTTATTTAGTCAAGCTCGAGGACAAAAAGAAAGACTTGAAAGAGCACGACTGCCATACTCATTTGGAGCCCAGATACATTTCATCTTCTCATTTAAATAATTTGCTCTGAAGTGAACTTGATTCAATGCGAAAGTAATTACAGTCTATTATATTCAAACAAGATGTTGTAAACCTTTGGTCATGCTAATCAAATCTTCTTTTATTCCAAATTAAGATTCTACTTTTTCCTCTATTCTGCTCCGTTTCATATTTGCTACTTATTATCTGTTTTTCTTGATTATCCCTCATCTAAAAAATGGACAAAAATTACTGCTCCAATGCGTACAAAAGGTCTGTTTCAGAGAGGGAAAAATCATTCTTATTCACCCAACAACAAAGAGGGCAAATGAATCACACTTTCTTTTTCCAGACGTCTTCTTTTGTACATGAAATCTCTCAAATGGATTACAACCTTATTAGTCGCTCTGTACATGGGAATCATACATACTACGTTCTCTTTCATACACAAGCATCACATATCCCTGCTGTATTCCTGGGCTGACACAGAAGGTTTTACAGTACACATGTAATCGAATGAACAGATAATGTATTCTAAACAGACACAAATACAGATACTGTACAAATGGCAGGTCCATTATTCATTTATTATTTTTTTTAGAAAGCTTGCCAGAAAGGTTCAGAAGGCATCTGGTTGAGACTAGAGGTGTGCATTGGGGGTGAGAGCTTATGGGACGCATCAAAAAAGCCTTGTGCATGGGAGGATTTTACTGTAATGTAGATGCACAAAAGGGACAGATATGAAAATGCTGAGTTGTACGATGAATTTACAGCATCTTTAGTAACCACATGTGCAGTGTCATGGTGGTTAAAATTAGTATTTTAGTTTGATTATAATT